TTATACTATGATTTTTTTTTATTTTATTATTTTTGTGTGCGTGTACCGTCAAATCAAATCTGACTGGTACAGGAGGAGATTGTCCCTCCTTCCCTGGCAGAGAGAGCATCTGGTGGATTCGAACTATACTATGATTTTAAGTGCAGATCTTTCCTCACATTTTGAGTTGTGCTACTTTAACAAAAAACGTTGTTTTCCATTACTGCATCTGTATCATTAAGGGTGATTCACTCTTTTATAAAAAAATTAATTTTTGCTGGTTTGCTTCAAAGTTTGCATACATTGTGTTTCTCATAATCTTTCCTTCATATTTTTTCATGCATTTCTATTCATTATATTTTATGAAATTAATCATCACTGAACTATGCCCACCTGACTTTCCAGATACCTCCAGAGCTTTCCCATTTCTTTTACCACTCGGCCTCCACCCACCAAATTGTGCAACCTTATGATTGCCCATGCCCATCTTTCCCACTCCAGTCCCACACTCCTCCCTCCTTTGATCCTTATACACATTTTGCTAGTTATCTTTCTATTTCTACTACAATGGTCTTATGTAGTATTTGTCCTTATGAGACTGAGTTAGTTCACTCAGCATAATGCTCTCCAGTCTCTTCCAAGCTTTGTAGTAATTTTTGAAATCACTGCTCCTGAATGCTTTGTGGTATTCTGTCATGTGAATGTTCCACAATTTCTCAATCCATTCTATTATAGTTGGACATTTTGGTTGTTTTCATATTCTTGAGATTGTGAATAATGCTACTATGAACATTGGTGTATAAATCTGTGTCTCAGTTCTAATTTTCTCAGGTTATATTCCTAGCAGTGAAATAGCTATATCATAGGATTTCTATGTTCAGCTTTTTGAAGAAATGCCAAACTGCCTTCCACAGTGGTTGTACCATTTTACAATTCCTATCCCTAGATAGAGTTCCTATCCCTCTACATCCTCCCCAACATTTATTACTGTTGTCTTGTTAAACTTTGCTACTGCTATTGGGATGAGATGGTATCTCACTGTGGTTTTGATTTGCATATCTTTTACTGTGAGTAATTTTGAACATTTCTTCATGGCCACCTGAATGTCTTCCTCTGTAAAATATCTTTCCATATCTTTTGCTCTTTTTGTAATTGGGTTATCAATCTTTTTCTTGTGGAAATCCTGTTTAGTTGTGGTTATTATGTGCCATCTAGTTAACTGAGACTCATAGCAAAGCTATTATGTACAATAGCTCTAAACCCTGCCCTATTCTGAGCCAATCTCATCATCTTATATAGGCCTAATCCTATTTCTCCACTCTTCTGAGTAAATCCCTCTCATACTGAGTCATCTTCTCCTACGTTGTCCCTCTACCTTCTAAGGTCTGACCCCTCCTGGCCACATGCCAAAAATATGTGAGACAGAGCTTCAAAGTCCTTGCCTCCAGGGAGAAGCTTGGTTTCACCCTCTTCAGGACAGTCCTGTTTGTTCTCTTGGAAGTCCATAGTATGTTCAACACTCTTCTCTATCACCACAACTCAAAGACATTGATCCTTCTCCTATCTTCCTTAGTTATTGTCCAGCTCTCTGATGCATACCAAGTAATTGCAAAGACTATAGCTTGTACCAAGCACACCTTAGTCTCCAGACTGGCATTGTTGCTCTTCAGTACTCTAGAGAGGTCCCTGACAACGGACTTTCCCATTGCAACTCGTCTTTTGATTTCCTGACTGCTGGTACCAAGAGTGTTGATTGTGGTACCAAGCAAGCTGAAGTTGTTAACAATCTCAATCTCTTCTCCATCTATCATGAAGCAGCCAATTGGCCGAATGGTGAGAATATTTGTTTTCTTCATGTTGAGCATCAGGCAATACTGGAGAATGCAATCCTAGACCTTTTGCAGCAATTACACCTCAAATCTTCCTCAATTTCAGCAAGGTTGTGTCATCTGCATAGCAAAGGTTGCTGATGAGTGCTCCTCAAATCCTCATGCCACATTCCTCTTCATAAAGTCTAGCCTCCTGAATAATTTATTCTGCATATCGGTTGAAAAGATATGGTAATAGGATGCATCCCTGATGCACACCTTTTTTGATCCTGAGCCATGCAGTGTTTCCCTGTTCTGTTCTGACTACTGGTTCCTGGTCCAAATATAGGCTTCTCATGAACATAATTAAGTGTTCTGGGATTCCCATTCTTCTCAAGGTTTGCCACAATTTGTTGTGATCCACACAGTCAAATGCCTTTGCATAGTCAATGAAACAGATAGACATTCCTCTAGTACTCTGTGCTTTTGGCTAACATTCATTAAATGTTTAGTATAATGTCCCTAAACTTTTGTTATGGAACCCTTGTCCGAGATGGTATTGCCAAATGTTTTTTTCCCAGTCAGTAGGTTTATTTTAAGGGTGATTCACTTTTAATATGAAGCTCTTCCTCAGTCATAGCTTGCATGTCTTCAGACCTGAGGAGCTCATGTCCCACTGCTATTCATCATAAAGTTTTAATTGGCCAATAAATTTAGAAATAGATTGCCAGCTATTCCTAGTCCATCTTTATTCTGAAAACTTTGCTAAAACATATTTACCCCAAGTGATCTTGGTGTTCTTTTGAAATTCTGGTAGAATTGCTTCTAGCATCATAGCAACATGCAAGTCACCATAGTATGGTAAGCTGGCAGATAAATAGTATATCTAGAACATTTCTTATCTATGCTGATAGGTCTCCAGGTTCTAGATTTCAAAGTCTTAACAACTTTAGAAAACCCGCCTCACCAACTCACTCCATGAGTATAGTGTCTAGTCAATAAATGAAGGATATAATATTTCTTATATTAAACAATCTTGGCCTTACTCACTGCTGTGGAGTTGGAACCAACTCATAACCAAGCCTCCAGGAGGTTTTCTAAGGCTGTACATTAAATGGTAAGAGATTACTCAACTGTCTCCATTGGAGCTGCTGGTGGATTCCAACCTTTAGCCTTTGGGTTAATAGTGCAACTCCCTACAGACTATGCCAACGGAGTTCCCTATAACAGCTAACTGGTTGTTCAGAAATACTGAGCATTTGTGCCTGCAAATAAAAGCCTTTTGGAATGAGAAAGCCTGTATGCAACTGGATTTCCTTTCCCTTTAAGCTCCAATAGAAGCTCTGATGGCCTAGTACATACAGAGTTGCACTGCTAACCCAAAGGCCTTGACTCCCTGGTCATTTAAATCTACCAGCAGCTCTGAATGAGGAAAATGAATATCTATTCACA